TGAAGAACGCTTTATTTCAGGATTCGATTCAAAAAGGCCATATCTCACTTCAAAATGTATTGAAAATGTGCTGATATAGGGCGTTTTTGAATCGGCAGCTGAGATAGGGCGGTTTTGAACTGGCTGCCAAGATAGGTCGATCTTCCACTCAGCAGTCGATATGTGAGCCCCACTTCAAAGCGAATAAAAAAATGTATTGGTGTATATCACACACAAGACGAAAAAGCAGGTTCCAAAAAAAACCTTAAAATCTGTAAAACTTTTGCAACTTCCAGTGATTTGAAGTCTGAAGGGCTATCACCCTTATCATGAATATTCGGTGAAAAATTTCACCGGCGAAACATTTCGTTCAACGAAATGATTCACTTTATCATGAATGTGGAAATTTCAAAGTTGGGATGACAGCTGTCAAAGGCATAAATACAATTTCAATTTTGAGCAGGCGGACGAGTATTTCGTAGATTTGTGAACATTTAGCAATTGTGTTGCGGTTTTATATGTGCGAATGACAGTTATTTCACTGATTCGAGGTGAACTACTTTGCTTGGTGAATGTTCAACACACAATCGGTGAACTGCATGGGCGAAATGTGAACGAGTTCATATGAAATGAAAACTCATTATAAGGCTGTATTTGTTAAATTCATTCCACATTCCGTTTTAATCCTACACCGTGTGTAAAACACGCCTTTGATACGTTTTAGGATATTTTTCATTAACATCCCTTTAATTTGAATAGTTTTTCAATCATACCTTACCCGGAGTCATACCTCGAAGAAGGTTCGTAGAGCAATTTTCCAAGAATTTTTTTCATGAGTGTTGTTAAATCCCAGTCCGTTTGATACCGTGAGTTGCATTTGAGCCACGGGAAATTTCGTAGGCAATAAAAACTGCACTTTTGCTTTGGTGTATAAATGTATTTTTGGTAAGTACTTTTTGGCGTTTCAAAACTTAAGCCAGCAAGCATACTACATAGTTAGTGGTTCCGATGGCAAACAAATATTAAATGACTCCCAAAATATTTGCCACTCTTTTGGACAAAAGATATATATAAATTATAACAAAGGCAAGTTCAGCTTTGTGGTCATACAAAATTATGTATACCGAAGTCAAGTGCGACGATTTAAGATGACAATAAATGATTAATTTGTGACAGAACAAAAGCAACGAACGAACAACAACGTGGTCAACAACAACGTGGCCAACACCAAGTGTACGCCAAAAAAGGATCAACTAAAAACTAAGAAAAGCTGACGACTAGTAAAATGTACAATAAAACTGCTATAAGGGATTAAAAGTGACAGCGATGTCGAAATAAAAGCGACAATATTACAAGAAAGCATGTGGCATGACACACAGTTAACACATTTGAAGAAAATAGCAATAAAACTTATGAGTATATATGTACAGAACTAACAAAAGCTGCAAACAAATTGGGTAACGACAAACTTCCGCGGGAGTGATTTAGAAGTTCATGTGTACAGCTATGATGCGATATTGGTGCCGCCAATTTGGCGTCCACAAACCGGAAGCCGATCAAAGGCTGTCGGGAAGGACACTCTGTATTTTATGTGATTGTTGCTTTTGTTTAGGTTGTCAATTCTTTCGCTACCCTTATTGATTCCCAAACAAAGAAATATTCAAATATGTATGTATGTACATATATTTAAATACATGGTGTCCTGTCTCACTGGCCACTACAAGCTGCGGTCACTTTTATTTTAACACGCAATTTTTCGCATGTCCTTTAAGCGAATTAGAATGAGATTGATAAATCGGAATTTTTTCGTTTGACAAGGGTTGCATTTACATATGTAGTAACTAGCAAAGCGAGCGCAAACAGCTGAGTAAAGTGCCGAGTAAGACTGAGATTGATGAAACGATTGCTGGCGAACAAAGGAAAGAATAAAAAAGAGCTATTGTTGTATTTTTGGAAATCCACTTTAAGTTCATACACCAAGCAATAATAGTTAATTAGCATTAGTGGCATTTTTATTTACACCACTATATTGTGTTGGCTTCCAAGAGAGTGATCAAATAAAATCTAACGCAAAAATCACTCAAATTTAATGGCACCTCCCTGCACTTTGATGGAGGAGACGCTGAATATTTTGGGAAATTCAGTGATTTGTATATCGGAGATTGAGATATATTAGTCATTGGATCAATTAGTATAAACTGGTTTGAGCCTGCGTGGTATGGAGTCCAATAGAGGGTCTAGGTGTGATTGTAGTTAGCCTAACCTATGTAACTGGGTCACTTCTCAAAGCTTCCGCCTCCACTGCCATCACTAAATATTTTATATTCTATAAAAGGGATGTAAACTGGATACCACTCCGGATTGTTTCGTCGATATTTTTTGTCTTTGACCCGGGGATTCGCTATGGCTCAGGAATAAAAAAAAACTATGTATATTTGTGTTACTCTTATTCGGTAACAATATAAAAATATACATATCGATGGCTGAGTGGAAGATCGACCTATCTCGGCTGCCAGTTCGAAAACGCTCTATCTCAAAAAACTTTTCAAGAACGCCCTATTTCAAAATTTTATTGAAAAACACCCTATCTCAAAATTCGGTTCAAAAACGCCCTATCTCACTTCAAAATGTATTGAAAATATGCTGATATAGGGCGTTTTTGAATCGGCAGCTGAGATAGGGCGTTTTTGAAACGAATTCTGAAATAGGGCGTTCTTGAAAAGTTTTTTGAGATAGAGCGTTTTCGAACTGGCTGCCGAGATAGGTCGATCTTCCACTCAGCCATCGATATATAAAAAGCGCTTTAATAAAAAAAAGTTGTCAGACGGTAAACAATTAGCGAAGGAAAAAATAAAATAAAGTAGAGAAAATTTATCTACATATGCATGTAGTAGAAATTGGTAGACGGAAAATTAGACTTTTATAAAAAGTGGTTCGCTTTTCGGTTCGAATCAAAATTTCGGTTCGGTTAATGGTTCCGTTGATTAGTTAAAAACTGCGGTTAATCCGGTTTCAAACCGGTTCACGTCCCTGTTATATATCGACGGCTGAGTGGAAGCTCGACCTATTTCGGCAGCCAGTTCGAAAACGCTCTATCTCAGCAAAATTTTCAAGAACTCCCTATTTTAGAATTTGGCTGAAGAATGCACTTGACTGGTTATCGGGTTATATGGTTAAAAATTATTATTATGTAGTGTATTTTACTGTTGTAAACTGAATAAAAAATATTACCACATAACCAGATAACCTGATAACCAGGCAAATGTGAACAACCCAAATGTAGAGCGTTTTTGAACCATTTTCTGAGATAGAGCGCTTTTCAATAAAATTTTGAAGTAGGGCGTTCTTGCGCCATTTTCTGAGATAGGACATTTTCAAATGGACTGCCAAATCCACTCAGCCGTCGATATATTGTACCTATGACAGATTTTCACACAAAAAGTTACTTGACTAAAAGTTTCTGCCTGTCAATGCTGAATCACCTAATAACAAACCTCTTATATACACTAATTATTATTATAACTTCTTCACTGTTTTATTAACTCCTAAATCTTTTTAATTTGGTGAGTCATTGAAATCTCGTTGCCTACCCATTTAAGTTGAATATAAATCATTTCGTTTCACATATCCTTACCAAGGAGTATTGCTTGCTCCTTTTCATTCCACTCATTTATTAACTTGCGCAGCCACTCCCTATTTCACACACACTCACATACATATAAATATATAGTACATACATATGTATGTATATTGCCTCAGTCGACCAAACCCCTCCTGCTGGGCTTTTGTGTTCAACTGATTTCTAAATGTTTTTCGCTTTTGATTAGATTTTTTTTTCAAGTTCTTTAGGCTATTTTTAGATTGTCCTTGCAAATATTTTGGTGTGTAGTCTTTATGCTATATTTGGCTTTTATTAAAGGCTGAATGTTATTTCTGTACAATAGGGTGGTCCAAAAATGCACGTGAAATGTAAAGTCGGAATTTTATGGTCTCACCACTTAGGATTGTTCTAAATATACCAACAAAAAAGATTTTCGATCGGGAAACTCTGCTTCTCTTCTGCAGATTCCCAATAATAATAACTAATTATTTGTTTAACCATTTTTTCATAGTAACTATATTTTATATGTCCGCCAAAGTATTAAAAAATAGTTAAATAAACAAATGGGTATTGTTACTGGAAGTCTTCTGAAGAGAACCAGAATTTTTCGCCAGAAAATTCTTGAATTTAAAGAATTCTATACCATTTCTACGAAAAGTTGTTTTTTCGCGACATAAAATACGTGGGAAACTTTGAGCGCTTTGAGCGACCTCGAAATATTTTTTGATTTAAAAAAAAAAAATAGAAGTATCATTTTTTTCGATATAGATCAATCCTAGGAGGAGAGCATTAAACTTCCGACTTTACTTATTTTGAACCACCCTAGTGTACAAGTATATTAAGTTGGTTTAAGAAGACACTTACTAATATTCTTTAATATTTTCGTATTGGTAGTGGCTAAGAAAGCTTTGACTCCACATTTAATTTTGTATAAATTTCTCTTTTTAAACGCGTTTATTAGAAAAATTTTAAGAGTATTGATTTGAAAATGAGTGAAAAGTTTAAGGAGATACGCTATGTGATGCGTTCTTGCTATAAAAAAGGCGAACAATGCAAGCGGAACAATTTTGTTTACGGTGAGAATGTAGTGAGCGAACGCCGGACCCAGGAGTCGCTACAACTAAGCGAAACGGTCAATTCCGTTTTCTACTGTGAACAACTCGACCATTTGATCGAAGAAATCGAATAAGATCTACCAGAATTGGCCAACAGAAAAGGAGTTCCGTTCCACCATGACACACATCTTTGATCACTCGGAACAAATTAGCGGAACTTGGTTGGGAAGCTTTTCATATGATCCAACCGTTAGTACATGGCCACTATTGTATTTATAATTAATTTTTTTACGCAAATTCCTAACCGAGATCTGCAATTTTGTTTTTTAAGACACATAGCGTCATTCTCAATTATGATTGCTAATATTATGTTGGTAACTTTTTTGTTACTAAAATATACTTTTGGGACCTATGCAATTATGGGATTTTTTATGCTAAAGTAATACAAAATATTGATCATAAAGCTATGCTTTTTTATTTACTTTATTTTGCTGTTCGTTTGCTGGCATTTGAAAGTAATTTTTTAAGTCACAGGAAGCCGTAATTTTCAATTATGATTACTAAAATTATATAGCCCTATTTGTTACTAAAATATACTTTTCAGTACCTACGTAATTAGGGGATCTTACTTGGGTAGCAAGTTAAATTTGACTCTTTGCATCACTTGGCGTTAGAAACATACCTGAAACGAGAGAGAGAGAAAAATATTTCGTTAGTACAATGTGAGATGCTATAAGTTACATATTTACATACATATGTTATAATTTGCAGAAGGATTTTACTTAAAATTGTTGGGTTGATTAATTAACCCTTTAACTGTGTCACCAAAGCTGGGTGGTTGGGGAAACATACCGCACTTACATATTATTTGCTCTTGATAGCACTGCGGAACACCCACTTTAGGGTGTCAAACGTTATTTTCCATTCGTTCGTCACAACCAAAATGATTTATCTTCAACTCATAAAATTTTTTTTACAGTGGGTTAAATTAAATGAATCATCTTTTAATCCAAAATTCCATCAAGGTGCATGCAATTTTGTATATAAATTGACTTCTGGGACTATCCGTATATTCGGCTACTCGTTCAGATATTCGTGTAAATGTATAAAATCCGGTTAATATGTGTTCTCTTTTGTTATACGGATATCCGGTTAATAACCGCTAATTTCCGGTTAGGACTCCCAGCCTAGTACAATAGAGTATAAATGTTCTATAAAAATGTTAAGCCTGTGATTGCGCTATAGGCCTTTATTCAAATTTGAAGTAATACCATAGAGCCCTTATCTTCAGAGACCTGTAGTAAAATTCAGCGAGCACTTATTAATTTTTTTTTTAAGTCATAATTTAATTTCTTTCACTATCGGTTTTTTAAGTCCATATGTACGGAAGTTAAATAAAAATGTCAGTTAGAGGGTTAAAATATTCTACAAAAGTTTTAAACAGAGAAATTTACAAGAAATTGTTAGTTTAAGTCCAATACGGCCAGAGTATAGAAATAGAAATGTTACCAGTTATGAGTCGTTTTCGAATTTCGAGTGTTTTTAGTTAAATAAAAACTCAAAATATTTTTGAAAAAAAGTTTTTTTGTCCGATTTCTCCTTTAATATGAATCATGTTTTTTCTTCATTTCTAAATTTGTTACCAAAAATTATTATTTCGCGAACTGATAAAATCTACAAAGCGTATTCGCTTGCTTTCGCTAAAATTTTTAAAACTTCAACAATTACTTCTACACAATGTATGGGCTTATGTGTGGTAACTATGCACATACATATGTATGTAAATACATAAATATATGTATGCATACATATTTATGCCTGTATGTATGTTTGCCTAATAACTTAAGCAATTGACAATTAATTGGTTACTTTCGAATTTAGGTCAAATGAATGGAAATCCTACACTCGCTTTTTGGCTTATCGGCTCTGAAAAGGTGCTACTTTTCAGTTTTTTTATATACTTTTACTATTCTTCTATTTTGGCATACTTAGTTACTTTTTTTCGACTGAAAGTAATCAGACAAGTCAAGCCCACACACGATTTACCAACCACCAAATGGAAAGCTCAGATAAATAAGTAAAAAGAAACAAAAAAAAAACGAAGCAAGCGAGCGGCCAAGTAGTCGGACAACAAAACCGTAGACAATTAAATTGCCACCTGCATGTTAATTATTAAAAAAATTTTAGTTTTCATTTATTTTTTGGCTACAAACTTTTTTCAAGTTTGCGAATTTAATTTTGTAAGAACATTTTTTTGACTGTTTTTTATTTTTCACATTTCTTTCTTTAGAAGCCTTGTTTTCTTACTATCTTTTCTTGTGTCATTTGCTTGCGATTTTTTTTTTAATTTATTCATTCCACTAAGATTTTTTTTACAGCTTAAACACCTCCGCTGACAAAACGAAAAAATTATAAATTCACACTCGGCAACAAAGCAGTTCAAATTATTTGTGCAAACAGGCATATCTGCTTATACATATCTACAGCTAACGGTAAATACAAGTTTTGCCGGTTAACTGTTAATGAAAGTGTTGGCGGTTGATGCTGGTGGCATAGTGGAAAGAAAGATAAGTCAAGTCATATGTATAAGAAATATAAAAAAATGGGCGAATGAACTAAAAAATGAATAACTCAAAATGTAGAAAGAATCAAAAAAAAACTTTTAAAAGTTATTTATAATCAAACTTATATATGCTATTGATATAGACCAGATAAGTGGCTTTAACAAATTGCCAATTTGATAGACTGAGACCCGATAAACCAACAGGATCCAGTGTTTGATATAAAAAGATCAGATATCGTCGCTCGGCGCGCAATTCCTCGCATACACCAAATTCAATACCACGTACAAGGTACAAACTTAGCCTTACCTACCAACATAGGCAGATACATAGTACACTACCCAAAAAAAACCAAGTGAGCAAAAAATCCAAATTTTTCGTTTAGTTTTGACAGGCTGTATTTCGGTATTACGGTGTCGGTAATGAGACTTAAAAAAAATCATTTTGAAGCTTTCACGTTCTAATTTCCACAGTTTTTGGCCAACATTTTTTTCAGGGCTTACAGTTCTCACGTAATCCTAAGAGGTAGCGCGAAAAAATATTTTTGAATTTTTTTTTTTTTTGGTTCACGGGCTTGAAATTTGTTTTCAGTTAGGCCGGCATATGTATCGGATATCCTCTTCATTTAGCTTTAATTTCCTGTTTTCAAATCTCCCTTATTTTTTTTTTTTTGAGTAGTGTATTTTAAGACAGATCACAAAAATTCCTCATTGAGGAATAAAACATCAAACTCCCTCCTCACTGCAACTCTTTGTTTATATTCTTTAATGTAACTAAGTCTTTTCTCTACTCTATATTTACCTCAAGCTTCCATGCCACTCAAAATATTACCCTTTTTAAAAGTAGAACGCTCTTTAGCTTATCTAGCTTTCATCACTCATTATGTAGTTATAATCAATCATCAATCAAGGCGATGAAAATAAAAATGGTGCCGAATAAACTCTTTTGCATATCATCGATGTTTTTGCAAAACCGCCCATCGACCAGTTGCAAAGCCGCCTAAATCGCCGTTGCGGCAAAAATGAGATTTGGTAACCCTGAACTCCAGGCATCGAGATTTATGTATAAAAATCGTTAAATAGCTATTAACACGACAGAAAGCGAAGCGAAAATACCGCCTGTCAAGGCAATGCCTTCAAAGAATAAACCGTTTTTTCGCTCTCCTATTTGAGTGCCGTAAGATAGGCGGTTTTGCAATTGGGTGATGGGCGGTTTTGCAAAAATATCGACGATATACTTCTCATGCAAATAACTGAGTCAACCAATTGTAGTGCTCTGAAAAATCTCAGATCAAGATCGTATTTTGATGGCTTTGCTAACTCTGTTTTAAGAATATCAGCGCCTATTAATTGTAAAAGCTTACATATTCCATTTTTTCATATTATGTATACACAATATTTTTGGCGAGTTTTGGGAATGTGGCAGAAATGTAGCAGCAGGGAGTCCACCGAAACTAGTAAAATTTTGAAAGTGGTCTACGAGAAAACAAATTTTCGGAGCATCTGGAGTAGACCATTGAGACGGAGTAACCAAAATGAATTTCTCTCTGTGTCACCTCATATATACGTGGTATTGCATTTGATGGATACGAGGTATTGCTCTCTATGCGACGATAAATAAATAAAAATCAATTTTTCATGTATCAAGTAATAGTGAGAGACTATAATTTTGTGGAAAGACATACATACATACGGTAACTCAAACAAGGGACCTCGTGTTGATTTTTTTAATATGTACTCTTTAATGTTTTTCGAGTTAACTTATTTTTCTTGCTTTTACATAAAAATATTTTCACAGCTTTAACCAAACCCATATAAATTAAGGTTTCAAACTATATACAAACTATATACGAAGTTCAGAGTTTTCATAAAACTTTCAACTTTTAAATCTGAATCTTTAGTTTTATAGTCCATATTAGGGCTGTGCGATTAATTGATTATTCAAAATTTTAATTAATCATAAAGTAAATAACTCAATTATTCGATTAATTGGAAATTATGATTACTCAAAAGTTCAATTACTCGAGTAACCAAGATTTTGATTAAACAAAAACAAAAATATAAGAGTAATTAGCTTTTTGATTAATCAACGTTATGAGTAAAATGAGTAATCAACATTTCAAAGTACTGTTTACATATAAAGCAGTTGAAGTTCCTTGATACTTTGAAAACGACGTTTCTGTTTTCAAAAAATTATTTTTTCATGTACAGAATGTATTTAAAAAAGAAAATAAGCATTTTCCAAAGCAAACTCATTTAACGAGCAAAATTAATTTTTTTGAGTAATCATATATCAAGTAACTCGATTAATCATCGTTTTGAGTAATCAAAATCTTGATTAATCGAGTAATTGATTAACCGGAAAACTGATTAACCACCTTGGTCGAGTAATCGAATAATCGCACAGCCCTACCGGCAAAACTGTTGATTATATAAAAAAACGTTATATGAACAGATTAAAGGAATTGTAATTTTTAATTTTTTTAAGTTTGTTTGAGCAAAATCGGACTAGTGGTTCTCGAGTTATGTCAAAAAAAGACCACCAAAGGTGACAATTTCGCCTATATGATAGTTATATATATATCTCGATTCCTAGACGTGACCCAGCGAAACGCCGGGACACGTATAACTTGTTTTTGACCGATATAACATTTCCCGTTGGTTTCATCCCATCCTGATTTTGACTGTCGCATAGTGTAATTGACAATTTTATCTTGGCGACGGCTTTTGCGGAGTAAAATATAAAGCAAAATGACAATTTAGATTGCCAAATGCATGAAAAAAATCATTCGGCTGCTATCGTCCTGCTACCTGTTTAACATGCTTTGGCTTGAAGTCTACTGTCTTCAGTAAAAGGCGTTATTTATTTTTTGGTGATTTCCTCCTGCATTGATTATTTTTATTTCGATTCGAATCGATTCAAAAATATTTTTTTTTGCACTGATCTGGGATCGCTTTGAATCCCATAAAGTCTTTTTTACTTGTTATGAGATTCATCATCGTTTCCTCAAGTTCTAGCCTACACCTTGGAAACCTAATTCATACAGGCAGCACAACACAGGGGTCAGCAGTTGTTACGTCATCGCTTACTACAAACATGTGCTTAATTAAATGATAGCCAA